GGTATTGGTATTGGTATTGGTATTGGTATTGGTATTATGAATGGCAGTGAGCTGCAAGAGCTATAGCAGGGATGTCTAACCTGTTTGAATGTTTGGGTCTATATGGAATCCTGAAGAAGTATTTTAGTTTCTACATAGAAAAGATTAGAAAATGAGGCCCACAAAATAGTCTGAATGAGCTAAAACTTAATTTAAAAGTGATTGAAATTTAGGCATGAATGGCCAGACTTTCCATAGGTCTGTGATCTGTTAGAGTTGGGAGAATCTGTATTTTGGAGTGGTTACTAATAATAGGCAGAACATTTCATATTGCTTTAGGAAAGGAAAATGGGATATTGTGTTTAATTTCTTCCATGCATGTAGCCTTGGACAATGGTTCACAGAAACCAAAAGAAGATAAATCCAGGGGATTATGATAGCTGCAGAATCAGCATAGAAAATTCCCTTCCTCCTGCCCCAGTGAAAGTCATAAAGATAAATCCTTCTGTGGCCAGATAAGTTGATAAGATGAGTTGATAAGATCAGGTCCTTGAACAGACTGCAAAGAAAGCTTTGGAAGCATGTGTACTCCCAGGAACTGTTTCGGTATTTCAGCTCTTTTAACATTCTGAAAACAGGATGATAAATTCATCTTTGTGTTATTGTGGGACAATTTCTTATTAATTGTATATAGTATATGGGTATGCTTTAATACCTGTTTTAAATATTTTACTTGTGTACCTACTTTTTAGAATCCAAGATGGATTTATTATATTTCGTTGGTGGAAGATGTACAATCCAAAGCAAAAGCAACATGGTAAGTTTCTATCATTTAGAGAGAAATTGCTAGACATTCTAGAAAATAAATGATTGCATGGGCTAAATAATTATTATTTGTAGTTGTAAAAGCAAGTTATTCTTTGTAAGTGTGCAAAAATGAAAAAAAGAAGTTATACTTGTATGCATTTATTTTAAAGTCAAATATTTTGAATCTGCTTAGTTTAGTTACTTAAGGCCTATTGGTGAAAGGTGATTGAATTTTTTTCATTTAATGCTTCTCTGAATTTGTGGTTGCATTATTTCCCACTAGCTAATGTGCCTGGGAGTTAATAAAGTGTCACTTGTGGTCTGTGCTTTTGTGAAGTTACTTCTTTGTTCACTTGGATTGTCCTAACTTGCACTGATTTCAGAAGGGTAGCGTGGTTTTAAGTAGGCAGATTAAGTACTTCATTATGAAGATATGGTGGGGGAGAGGGAAAAAAAGAAAATGCCTATTGATCAGGGCAAAATTTTAGTTAGTGTAGTTCTATATTAATAATGGAACATATGATTATTGTACTAAAAATCACCCCTCTAGGTGTTTTGAAGCTAAAATATCCTAAATATGGAGCTATAATTGTCAGAATTCCCATTAGGAAAATTAACAGTCCTAACACATCTGAAGGATATCTGGCTGGGAAAAGCTGCAGATGTGATAATCAAGAAAGAAAAGAATTATGCTTCAACTGGTTCTTTGAGAAAAGGCAAGAAAAGTTGTGTTACCTGAATTACTTATGTTGTCGCCCATTAGACATCAGGCCAAGAACAAGGATAAATTTTCACTGTTATAATTCTTAGTTATTTGGGTGTCATGGCTTAATTTGTTGAAGTTATAAATCCCCTACAAAGTTGGTTACTTCCCCATGCTTTTTTTTAGAGAAGATGAACTTATTTATCTTGCTGTATCTCTTGAAAAGTTGAAAACATGTTACATTCTGAAGACATTTTCCTTCATTATGTATAGTTAGAAGGTTAATGAATAATCTTGCTACAAGTATTCAAGTAAAAAGATGTTCAAAATGGTTTGTGTAGTGTTCTTGTGTTTTTTTTAGGGGAAAAGTAGATTTTCTACTACTTTGGGGATAAATATAGAGCACATAGAGAACTGTTACTTATATAATGTAGTTTAAAAGACCCAGTTTATTGAAATATCAAAGGAGTTCATGTCTCTTGAGTAAACAAGTAATAAGGTTGTCTTTAAAGAAAAATAATGAGTTAATTATAACAAAATTATTTTTAATTGGGTCATACTATCTGAAGCTAAAAGTGTGTGAATCACAAATATGCTACATGATTATTTGTAATCATTTATAGTTTTTAATTTTCTCCTCTGATTTTATAACATTTAATTTATATCATTTAAACATTATGCCATGTATCAGTGGTTCTTGACCTTTTCATTTAAGCTAATAATTAGATTTTCTTGAAAACTTTTAAGGACCAACACATAAGATATGGATTAACTAGCACATATGTGTCCATATTTGTGGGATCTCTCATTAAATAAAATTAATTACATTGGTTTTAGTAAATAGCCAAAATCTGTGCAAGGGCTGCCGGGTGGGTTGGCGAAGTTGCACAGGGCTGTGTGAGAAGCACCGCATGGGTCGGGTGCACAAGAGTGTGGCGTGGATCAGGAAGAGTGCACAGGGTGTGCAAGTGGCAGGCAGGCATGAGCGCTAGTGGCTGGGGAGGGTCCGTGGGTGTGGGAGACTTATCCCAGTGACTTGCGACCTTCCCTGCCAGCTTCCTCATTGACTTTCTGGGTTGTAAATGGCGATCACATGATTGTGGGGTACTTGGCAACTGGTTGTAAGTGCGAACAAGTTGCCAAGCACCCAGATCACGATCATGTGACCATGGAGGTGCTGGGACCGCTGTAACTCTGAGAACCAGCCATAACTACCATTCGTTCAGCACCAACATAACTTCGAGTGGTCTCTGAACAAATGGTCATAAGTTGAGGACTATCTGTAATTGCTACACTCCTCCCTCCTAACCTTTTGGACTATTGTATATTAATGGAGAAAAAAGACACAAAAACAAGGGACAAAGATAGGCATCTTGTTTTTCTATGCAACAACTCCAAATTTTTCCTGATTAAGTGTGTTTTAGTTAGTAAGCACATATTCCAAAATAAGTCAGTTAGACTTCACAGTAACAGTGAGTGCTTTTTTTGCTTCTATGAGTGTTTGCATTTCTTTCCAATCATTTTATTTGTCTTTAGAGAGAATTTGAGCCATAGCTAAAACCTATTTTGGATTTAAATAAATAATACTTTCTGTCGATCTTACTGGCTGCCCACTAGACAGAAGCTACTTACTGGTGTCCAAATGAAACAATTGTTGTAAGTCTTCACTTTGATTGTTGAATGATAATACTAATTATGCAGGTGATTGTTTACAAACTTGAATTAGATATGTTATTCATGCATGTTGATTGGTTAATAGTTATTTTAAAAGGTCATACTTGTGAATACTCCATTTAATTAAATGATTTTATGTATGATATATGTGTATATTTATATGTTTTTACATTTGTTTGTGAGGTTGACCCTTAAAAATCAGTTTACTAAATGAAATATCTTTTTTATTGAACTCCATAGATCCTAAGGCAGAAACAAGATTGTATATCATGGTGAATGATTTTGAATTTCATGTCTACAACCGTTCTGATCTTTATGGGCAACTTCAGGAATTATTTGGTTTAGATCCAACCATAATTCCTCCAAAAAAAGAGGATGAAAAAGCACGAGAAAATGGGCAAGAGCAAACACATACAAATCTTGAAAGGTAGAGATTATTTTTATTCACATAAGTCTTTGAATGTGGTGCTAAATTTACTGTTTTACCATTCAATTTTGATTAAAAAAACACTTAACAAATGATTCCTTCTTTTGGTTCTAAGAATTAGATCTCTCCTTATTAGGCTACTGGCCACTTTTGGAACATCTAATATTCCAGACATTTAAATATAGTACAGAATGTTGTTTATACTTAGTTTGAGCATATGATTATTTGGCTTGCATCTGCTGATTGGAACTGAAATGCAGTGTGTGGTGTTTTTTCTTCTTTTTAGCAAGAATTGGCCTGTTGGTTAATATGCTCTACAGAAAAGGCATTTCTACATTAAGATGGTATCTGTAACTGAATATAGTAAACAGACACACTTTTTTCGCTAAAGTAGGTTTAGTTGTTGGGAGCATGCTGTTTTATCACCTCTTCCTCCCAAACAAGTTGAAGTGTATTCACTATTCCCTGAGTTGGTAGAAAACTATATCACCATAAAATTTGTTGCTCATGCTGGCAGTCTCTGTCCTGACACAGGTATGGTGCTGGCAAATGGCATTGTCCTAATTTATATTATATAAATAGGGCCCATCAAAACAGCAGTTGGTTGATTGCCCTTACTATGCTTCCTCTTCTCCAGCAAATATCATCAGCTGGTTGGAAAACTTGCACTAATCAGTCTCTTAACATGAGGTGAGGTTACATCTAGGAGAGATTAAGAGGTTTGACAGATGGCTAAATGAGCAGGTTTAGCCACCAGTCAAAATTCACTCTAGTTTGGCTTCCTTTTTTGATAGAGATGTTATTATGAAAGAACAATATTCCAAAATAGTGCTGTTCTGGAATATTGCTCAACTCTCATCTCTAAAAGTAGCCTGACAGTAAGCCCATAGGTGAATTTCCTTTGAACACATTTGTGCAACTCATTTGTACTGACTGTCAGACTTTTTTAAGACATGGGATCCAGCAAATCATTAATCCTGTGTTTAAAAGCAACCCAGGCAAGAGCTGACACACATAGACAGAGTGAGCTGTGAAGCAGCAGAAAAAGAGCCATCTCTGTCTCTTTCCTATTTCACTATGTAGTCCCCAGCTATTTCTATTGATTAGCTTCCGGTCAAGCTGAATTGGAAACTAGAAAACAGTGCCCAGGGATTGAGAGGCCATGTCTGCACCATTCTTGATCCTATTACCTGCAGGTCACCTGACTGTGAATTGTAAAGCATATTATTTGCATTCATGCAGATCTGCTGTGGTTTATCTCTGTACAAAGGGTAAAATACTGTTTTACATTGGAACTTCCAAGGCCGACCTTAAACTGCCTTAGTTATGAGTTAGGGATAAGTTGAAAATAACCTCATGAGGACATGGCTGAAAAAGAGGATGCTAGGATATGTTTATTTCTTTGTTAGGTGATATTGAAATGGAAGATGTAGGGTAAAAAAACCCTTTTAAATTAAGAAATGAGTTAATTTAGAAAATTAACTTGAATCTAGAAAATGCTGAAATGAGGGCTTGGTGGAAGATGAAGTTACCTAATCAGTCCTCCTGAGGCTGTTGAAAAACCTCTCCTGCAGACTGAAGATATCTTCTGAATGTGTTGGGATTGGTGATACCTAGTTTTTGTTCAGCTGCCATACCATAGATGTACTCAGGATAATTCTCTAACTCTTGGAAGATCATTTGAAGAATATTCCCAAGGGGAATGGATATAATCTTCTGTCTATTCTCTCTTCCTACTTGTATGGATTGAAGCCAAAATTAATAAAACGTAGCAATCGCAGCATTTCAGAATAAGGCAGGGCATGAGTTTGAAAGGTTTTGCATGATGCAATTGAAAATCTTTTTAAAAATGTTACTGGAAGTACCTGCAAGTGTTTTGTTTTATCTGTTATTTTAGACTAATTGCAGCAGAGAGCATTTCCAGGGGAGTAATGGCCTAAGAGTTCTTACGGAAAATTATCTGTTTACTTAGCTTTACTGACATTACTGCTTTTGAATCATTGTTTTCTTAAATGGAAAACCTGTTGGAAAATGTATTACAATATTTAAAAATATAATTAGTTCAGTAATAGATACTATTGATACAAGCTTTCTTCCCACATGGCACTGTGCTGAAGTATGAAATTTTCTAATAATGACTTCCACCATCTTTTGTAGATATTTACTGGTGTTTCTGATCCATTTGATATTTTCAGTTTGTTTATAAATATGCTCAGTATTAATTAAACTGTCCTTTAAAAAAAAAATCACACAAAAATGTTTGCAAATTGTTTATGAAGTGTGATTTCTCTAAAGGTACATATTTTTCAATATACAGTACTTTCTCAGAAAGTTTAGGTTTTATAACATAGTTTGATATCTTTTTGAATAAAAAAATATATTAGAACGTTTGGAAGACAACCTTTATTGGGTAACTAAGTACCCATATACCATTTTTGGAGGCAAGAATAGTGTCTATCAGAATTCACAAGACTAAATACTTCATCTCTGGAAACTAAATATATAACATTTAAGTTATAGATATTAATGTGTTAAATGGCCAGTGCAGGTTCAGAGATACTTAGCATAATAGTTATCATGCTGTGGTTACCTCCAATCATATTCCTCGCTTAGGAGGAGTTTAAAAGCAACAATTTAAAAATGAGCAGCTCTTTTAGGATCACACAGGCTATGCCACTTGCCTGAATAGTGGAAAGTTGATCCATACCAACCACACTCATATGAATGCACATGATTATTGACATAAGGTAGCACCAAGGATGCAGGGTGGGAATATTTTAAGGTAATAATCATAAATTGTACTACAATACTGTGTTATATTCACTTAGCTTTTTAAATATATGTAATACAAGTCCTTTGTTTTCCTGAGATAGGACTGCAGTCCTTTGGTTCAGTTCCATTTTGGTGTGGGTTAATTCCTATGTAAGATTTGGGCTTCTAATTTATATTGTTCAGTATGTAAACTTACTTTGCTTTCTTCCTTCAGTGTCAAAGCAAAAAGTGATTCTCACGATCCTTCATCTTCATGGAGATCTCTTATTCCTGTAATCAAAGTCAATGTTAGCACGGTAAGAAAAAAAGATCCTGATCATCTGCATTTTAGATTTTCTATGGATTTTGAAGATCTTTCTTCAGTAGTCATTATAATATTTCATTTTGATCTTAGAAACATTATTTAGTCAGTATGTATGCTTGTATATATATGTATGTATGTATGTATGTATGCGTGTGGGTGTATATATATTTCTATAGGTGATACATATGGATTCCTGAAAACGCTAAGTAAAACTACTTAAAAAGAATGTCTTGTTACCAAAGAATTAAAAGTTAATACACAGTTGTATTTCTCTTAAATTAGGGCCGCTTAGCCTTTGGAAATCATTATCAGCCTCAGACTCTGTGTATTAACTTTGATGATGCTTTCTTAACTTATACCACAAAACCACCTTCAAGCCATCTGGATCAGTTCATGCACATTGTAAAAGGAAAACTGGAAAACGTGAGGGTTATGCTTGTTCCAAGTCCAAGATACGTTGGTCTTCAAAATGATGAGTAAGTAATTATAAGTTAAAGCTATAGAATATATAATATAGTATTAGGGCATCCAAGCTTTTTGGAATGAGGGAATTCTAAATAATTTAGAATTCTAAGGAAGTGTCATGGGTGCCATTATAAAATGACTGCTATTGTTGATGTTAACCAGACACACATTTCACAGAATGTCACCTGATAAAGTAAAATGATAAGATATTAGGTATCATTTATAATAAATAAATGAAAAGGTATAATGTTTTTGACTCATTTGTTTAATTGGGTTTTCTTTATCTAGTTTTCAGTAAAGAAAAGGATCTGTGGCGAAAAGATCACATTTTAGATCATATTTATGCAGAAATATTGACAATTCAAAAGCATTAACAAACTTTTAAGCCCCACTTTGTAGCATCTTCCCCAAATAGCTCCCCTAATTACACTACGAAGTTCAATCCTGTCTGCCACTGAATTTCAATGGCATGGTCATGGACTTTTTAAGAGCTTGGGGTGAATTTTGAGAATTGAAATTGGAGTGATTTGCTTGCCTGATGCTTTAATTAACACCATAAAAAAGTGCAAAAAAGGGCCAAAAGAGTTTAGTCCTGCGTATTCTAGCAGTTCCACATAATCAGAAATCTTTTTGCAGCCTTCTAGCTGATTAGGAGAACAGATTGCAGCCCTTGACCCTTCAAAAATTCCTGTTTAACAGATAAGATTTACTTGTCCCATTTCTCCAGCCTTCAGGCTGCCTAAAAGTAAGTAAATAAATCATATGAATGAGCAGAGTGCTCTGTTGGTGCAGAGGGATCCATCTGTATTTCTTGCCTACTTTGACATGTGCTCAAGATTGATTCCCAATGTTTAATGCAAAGTGCTGCTTTAGAAGTTTGAATGCCTGGTGATTCCAAGTTCATTTAGCGTTAAGTTAGCAGAGAAACCTCACTTAGTCTCTCATTGATGCTGAATTGTGTACCTGGCTAAAATTCTTGTACAAAGGTTTATAACACTGCACTGCTAAACGCATGTCCTGTTAAAATAAATCTTCTGAAATTCAGTGGTAACCATCTAAAATTCCAGTCTAAGCTGTTCAAAATATGAACCTAAAACCTTAAAACCAATTAACTTCCTAAAATTTGTTAAAAATTTAAATCTCAGAGGAAATGTTTTAGAAATGGAAAAAAAATGCTAAAATGATCTCTGAAGAACTTGTCAATTTCTCTAGACTTGCCAGCTGTGTAAAGGTTCTAGGGGCATAAATATATAGGACCTCCTCATCATATCTTCTCTCCAAAACAGCCAGACATCACACTATGCAAGAAGAAAGGTCCTTTTATGTTTCGTTAATTTTGGTGCTATTTTATACTTGTGGCTGTCAGTAATAAATTTGGAGCCCACTTAAATCTTCTAGTATTCAGTGTCTAGTATTTGCTCCTTCAGCACAGAATTGGCCTGGTAAAATTCCAGGGACCTCTAGACTTAATTTCACTACTGGGGTTATTTCAAGCCAGCAGGAATTTATCCACCAAAAACAGAGGGGCTTGGAAGAAATGATAGCTTTAAACAGTAATTTAATGTTTAAATTAAACATGCACAGACATACACATATACAGTATATGCATACATATGCCTGGCCTCCACTTTTACCCACCAGTCTTTAGACAGAGGTCAGCATTTGTGACATAGCAAGGAACCCGGAATGCCTGCCTTAAAAAAAAAAAAGTTGAACTTGTTCTAGTAGGCCAGAGTTATTGTATGTACACAGCTAGATAATATAGAGCATCTGTCCCAGTGTTTTGCTTTGAATAACTTAAGCCATCAGGAATATAACTATGCTTTTGTTCACAGAAATTGAAAGATGGCACCCTCAGTCTTGTGAGCATCTTAGTCGGTATATGAGACATGAAACTACTACTAGGACTTTGAAAAACCATTCCCAAATATTTAAATAATGTTACCTGCCTGATTGAATGCCTGTGTATATTCTAGGCACGACTCTTAGTCTCCTAGTAAAACTTTTATTTTAATGTTTTGATGGTTAATTTCCAGAATATCCTCCTTGCAGAATGGTATAAGATCCCACAGTGTTTTTCCGAGACCTATTATTCTAAATAATATAACTGCTTCATCTTTTTTTCATTTTTCCAAAATGCAGATACAATGGTTGCAGGTGATTTCAAAGCCAAGCTAGGTCGAGAGAGAAACCTAGCTTGGCACTGAAATCACCTGCAACCATTATATTTGCATTTTGGAAAAAATGAAAGAAAATAATAAGGTAAAAGGTAGTAAGGTAGACCATCATTACCTGAGCAGAATAGATTGCTTCAGGGAAAGTAGGTAAGTACTAATTACAATCAAAGTGCAATGTTTATTATCATGGCCAGAGCATATTGTTTAAATTAAGAGTGCTATGCACTCTTAGTGTGCATGTAGGTTCTATTTTAACAGGAAACTATTGACAAATGACTGAAATATAGGACAGGATAGAATAACTTTTTAGGAAAAAGGTTATCAAGTTATCAACAACATGTTTAAATTATACTGTGAAAGTTTTTCAGTTGAAAAATTTAGTTTGGCTACAGCAAAATTTCTCAACAACAATCCAATAATTTCAGTTGGTTTACGACATTAAAGTTTAAAAATAATGTGTTTTCAAAAGAGTCAATGAAAAATAAACATTTTTAATATTGTTAATGCTTGAGAATGTTAATATGTTAATTACCAATATGCTAATATTGATGAATCAGGCAACAATGCTTTGATCACTGCAAGCATGAGGAAAGTGTAGATTTTTTATATTGCCTGGAAACCCTTTTAAAGTTCTTAGTGAATTAACTAGAAAAACAAAGGCTATAATTAAATATTTAACAGTCAGAAATTTTCACAAGAAGTTTTGTGCCTCTTAAAGACTGACATGTTATTATAAACTTCCGTATACTAGAATCTAATGAATAAATGCAGTATTCACATTTTTCCTTTCTGGTTTTTTTGTTTGTTTGTTTGTTTGTTTCTCTTTTGCAACAGACCTCCAAGATTAATGGGAGAAGGTTTTGTTGTGATGCAGTCAAATGATGTTGACATCTATTACTATATGGATGAACCAGGTGAGTGTGAATCTTTTCATTTAAGGTGATAACAATTTGCAAGATCTTAGCTTTTTTGTCAACATTTTGAACTGGAACAGTACCCTAGAATAGGGTATTAATTTTTCCCCTTCACATAGAGTATCTGTCCAATCTGATTCCATCTAGTGTTGCAACTGCTTTTTAACTTTAAAAAAATGGCTCAGTTCCTCAACATAGATTCCTGTGTCATCCTTAAATCTGCCTTTATTACTGCGGTATCCGATTTGACCCTTTCCTAAATAGCTATAGAACAGTTAATAATGGCCTATAACTATTGAACAAGCGACTTTAAGCCATCAGTTTATTTGAGTTGATGTTATACAATGACTAGGTGTGAGCTGCACATTTCAAATCTTGCTTAGCTATAAGTTTGCTAGCTGACCTTAAATAGATCACTGGTTTTTTTTCAATCAGCCCTCTGAAAATGGTTATAATTATGTCAGTGTCAGATTAAGTATTCCATTGTGCTTAATCTAAGATCTAAGATAACTTTGTTCCTGCAAATCTCCTGTATTCACCAGGGAATCTTGTTTGCATGGCCAGATGGTAGAATGCATGAGCTTTTCATTAAGTAGCAAATGTTATTGACCTTGATACTGGCTCTAAATTTACTGTTATATCATTGCTTTGTCAGAACCTACCAACCCAACATGCTAATGGCTGTTGAAATAGGATTGACATGTGTTATACACCAAGCATTTAATAAAGTTTTTAAAAGTACACATCTGAAATTGGATTGCATATTCATATTTCAAGATTGTTTAATTGTAGGGATTCCTTTGTGCAACAGATCTAGGATTCAAGCAGAGTGAGATCTGATGTAGGTATGAGGCCTCCAGATTTTTTCTTCTGTGTTTCTTGCCTCAGCTTTTTTACATTTGGAAAATACTAACCAATGCAGCAAAGTACTGCATTTATGTAAATAAATTGATCTTTCTTAGTTTTGTTGACTAAATTCTTAAAAGAGTTTCTTACCATTCAAGGTCAGTGCAAAATATTTCAGCACTGTTTCTCAGAATTTTTGCTAGTATCTGTATATTTCTGATTTTTAGCTGTGATGCCTTGTGAAATGCGTTAATCCTTTATATACAGTGGTACCTCGGGTCACGAACTTAATTTGTTCCACGACTCTGGTCGCAACCCGAATTGGTCGCAACCCGAATCAAATTTTCCCATAAGGTTCAAT